TTTCTTTCCATCTTTCCTCTTTCTTTCTCTTTCCTTCCTCCCTTGTTCCTCTTTTTCCTTCTTTCCTTCCTTCCTTCTTTCCTCCCTCCCTCCCCCTCCTTCCTTCCTCTTTCTTCCATCTGTCTGCTTTCCTTCCTTCCTCCTTCCTTTTCCTTCCTCTATTCCTGCCTCCCTCTCCATTCTTCCACCCTCCCTCCCTTCCTTCTTTCCATCTTTCCTCTTTCTTTCTCATTCCTTCCTCCCTTGTTCCTCTTTTTCCTTCTTTCCTTCCTCCCTCCCTTCCTCTTTCTCCCATCCATCCATCCATTCACTTCCTTCCCTCCCTTCCTGACAGTATCTCTTACTTTAAGTTGTGTGGACCAGTTCTTAAAATTCCCCAACCAGCATGGGGATTTCTGGGAATTGAAGTCAGCACATCTTAATATGGCCAAGTTTGAAAAACACTGATTCATGCCCTCAAGGGATCCCCTTTTGTGACTTTCTGACCTGCAAACCCCAGATTCCCTTGACAGCCATGTTACTATCTTAACAACAGCAGTGATTCCAGAGGTGGCATTCAGCAGGTTCTGACCGGTTCTATAGAACCGGAAGCGGAAATTTTGAGCCGTTTGGAGAACCAGCCAATCCCACCTCTGACTGACTCTGCCAACCCCATCTCTTCTCTGCCTCCCATTGAGTCCCAGCTGATTGGCTGGGTCTCCTTTGGTTGCCCTGCACAGGAGAACGGAGCTGGAAAGCAGGTTAGTGGGGTGGGGAGGGAAGGGGGATTTTGCAGGATATCCTTCCCCTGCCACGCCCACCAAGCCACGCCCACCAAGCCACGCCACGCCCACAGAACCGGTCGTAAAAAAAAATTGAATTCCCACCACTGAGTGATTCACTTAACAACTGTGGCAAGAAAGGTCATAAAATGGGCCAAAAAATTCACGTTAACAACAGTCTCGCTTATCAGCAGAAATTTGGGGCTCAATTTGGGGCCCATAAGTCCAGGACTACCTGTAAAACAGGGGTGTCCAACCTTGGCA